ATAAACATTAGAATTAACCCACATGGATTAGCATATTCTTCATGACCATATAAAGATTATTAACATTAGAATTAGAAAGAAAAACACAAACACGCACGCATATATGTGGTGGATTCATGTAATCCCTAAAACTCCTCACTATGCCCATTAGCATATCCACAGCACTCCAATATCATGTAAAGCATATCCATAGCACAATCCATGGCATTCCAATATTAGAAAAAAATAGCCAAAAGAATAAACAAATTAAACAATAAAGTTGCTACTTACATCCTTTTCCAAAGCAATCTAGATGTCACAAAGCCCACACAAAATTCCTTATGAGTATAATTAATCCTATAAATTGACAACAAACAATATAAGTAAATAATATTAAGGGTAGGATAAAAAATTGTAGCATCAGAAATGAAATCATTTAAAGCAATCTAGATGGGCATGCATTCCTACATGTACAATTCAGGTCTAAATACACCAAATTTCGCTGACTTGACATTAAAATTACCTTTACCATGAAGGGTCCAAAAACTATCATCYTAATCAAAGGATGCAAGCAAATCTTAMGAATCCCCTTTGCAATATTTTCAATTAACATACTCTTCCCTCTATAGAAATATTATTCACTTTGATAGGTAGTCCAATGAAACCAAATATATGTYTCATAATTTTGAAGCCCTCAACACCCAGAAATACAAAGAACAAAGTTCCAACAAATCATTTAGGTAAATCTCTAGATTAGCAAATATCCTAGCTGACTCACTTTTGGAGGAGGGGTAGGGAGGTCTGAAAAGTATGATCTTAGCTGATCCTAGCTAAGCTATTTATTTTATTTTACATTGTACTAGTTGAAAAGTATGGATGTCATGTATACGTGTTTTGTACCCTGTTGTTGGATCATTTTCTAATGCAGGGGTATTCTGTTTGTTGACTTTCCTCAGTATGAATTGAGTTTAGTTTTGTTTGGGGACTGATTTCTCTCCCTTGGCTGAAACTCTAAAAGTACATTAGCCACCCTTTTCAAAATGGTGTTGTACCCATGATTAGTTAATTAGTATGCAGCCTTGCGAGCAGCAGATCCGAACTCCTAGGTAGGGGTGCAAGTTTGGTATCTAACTTGAAGAAATTAAATAATATTTGGTCAAGGCGCAAATATTATACATTAAAAACTGCAGTATTTCAGTTCCTGGTTTCAGCCTTTTAAATGCATGCAGATTGTAACTAGGGATTTACCAATTCCTGGTTTCACATTTTAAAGAAACATGAAATTGGGATCAAAGAAGGGCTATAACTCCAACATACCTTGTCATAAACGAGGCAAATCACCCTGTTTCAGCTTGTTCCCAAAAGTGAAGTCAGGAAGCTATAATACAGGTGGCAGTGTGGTACCCCTGTTTATCTTAATGTTTATGACTTGACACCCATGAATGGCTATGTCTACTGGGCAGGCCTTGGTGTCTTTCATTCTGGTGTGAATTAAATAAGCAGATCCGAACAACATGGCCCTGTCTTCAGCGACAATCCGCTGCACTCCATCTTCCTACCAGATACCATCTGAGGGCCCATCCTAATTCTTTTTTCTTAATCTCTCTCTAGGGATTAAATCTTTTAATCAATGAGCCAGCCGGTGCCCAGAGGCCTTATTATTTAAATTAATCCAACTTGAAATTCGATTACTATCAACCCAACTGCTTTTCCCAACGATTTCATGTGAGATCTAGTAAAACCCAATGGTGCAATATTGTTACTGGCAAACAAACTCTAGGGTTTAGCAATAAAAGACAATCCTCCTTTCTTTAGAAATATCCCTAAACCCCAACCTTGATACCCGATTAGAAACTCCTGCCACATCCCCTATAACTTAGAAAACAAGAACAATCGCTCTTGTTCCGTATTTGACACCCACGACAGAAGAAACCAAAAGAAATATATATATTTTCAATACAGGTAAAAAAATAGCAACTTTCTCTTAGAAAAAAGCAGAAGAAAAAAGTGGGAGATGAACTTACTTCTCTACAACGAGCTAAGCAGACCAAGAATCCGAGATGCTTTGTACACCGAGAGAGCAAGAAACCGAAGAAGGGGAAAATGAGCAGAAAGAAGAGATGAAGATCTGAGAATGAGAGGAGAAAAACGAAGGGAAGAAGAGAGAGATGAGAGACGAGAGAAGTCTAAAACGAAGGGAAGAAGAGAGAGATGAGAGCAGTACTCTAAAACGCGGGAATGAAGAGGGCGGGCATTTTTTTCCTCTTTTTTCTATTCCAAATTTCCAATCTACCCACGGTTTTCTAATCCCATATATATATATATATATATATATTGCAACGGTCCATTTTAAAACCGTTGGGGTAAATTTATGTATAAGCCACGGCCCAGCAACCGTTACTAGGTTGGAATTAAAAAGCCAGGATATAGCTACGGATAAAATATTCAAAAACCGTGGCTAAAGGCTACTTTTCTTATAGTGAAATAACTATTATTTTTTCTTTATGATCGATTTGGGAAGTGCGTAAATACAAATATATTCAATGCAAAACCTTGTATGCAGTGTACATATTTGATATTTGTACTCTTTTCAAACAGAGCGTTAACTGAACTTATAAAACAAACCATGGATGGAGGGGATTCTAATAATACTATTGCAAGTAGATTAAGTACCCATTTGGAAATGAGGAGCCTGGATCATTGTAAAGCCGTGTTTGGTAAAAACTTCCCCTAAGCGGGACAGAAAATGCAGTTCAGAAGCCTTCCCAAATGGGTTCTTAATTATACTCTCACCATGCTTTTCCAAAATATGGACGAAGGTATTTATGTCTTTTCACATCAAGGTGGGCAGGTGGCAATAAAAATAAAATGTACTGTTAATTTGGAAATTATTTGTATTTGAGTAGTGGTTAGAAGCTACATTTCTTCATTATAACTAGTTAATAGACATAAGGATATTATACCTTTTTTCCTTAATTTTGCTAGCCAAATCAAAGTTTTACATACCAACAACATGTGAAAAATATGGTGGAATAAAAAAAAATATTAAAGAGGTGAAGAATGCAAAAACATTACAAATGACAAACGACTCAATTTTACGTGTAAGTTACTTTGATGGAAAAAAAATTATCCATATGATTAGGTTTGAAATTGAAGGTTAAATACAACCAATTATAACTTCATTAGATGCGATGACAAGGGAATTTAATAATATATATATATATATATATATATATATTTGATTTTATAAAATATTTATGGCCATTACCAAGTATAATCTATATATTATAAAGTGGTTACTTGTCTTAGTTTTGTGTAGGCCAGAAAAGTTAAGTTCGATTATATAATGTCAATTTATATATAGAGGTGTCAATTGGACTGGATTTGGTCCAACCCAATCCAGTCTTATGTGAATCCACTTACAAATGGACTGGACCCAATCCAGTCCAAATCCAACCCAATCCATTAAAATGTAAATGGATTGGATTGGATCCAAACCAAACCGATTGAATGAAATATAAAAAAATTATATAAAGCACTTTTGGCATTAAAAAAAGTATTTTTGTAAAAGTGCTTTGATAATAAGTATTTTTATAAAAGTGCTTTTCACAAAAGCACTTTATTAAGTGTACTTCGTAAAAGTGATTTTGTAAAATCACTTTTAGAAAAGTACTTCCATAGACGTGCTTATAAAAGTACTTTTGTACATGTGCTTTTATAAAAGTAGTACTTTCATAAAAGTGCTTTTGTAAAAATGCTTTCGTAAAAGTACTTTTATAAAAGTACTTTCATAGAAGTGTTTTTATAAAACTACTTATATAAAAGTGCTTTCGTGAAAGTACTTTTTTCATAGAAGTGTTTTTATAAAAATGCTTTCGTAAAAGTGCTTTCATAAATGTGCTTTTATAATAGTACTTCCATAAAAGTGCTTTCATAAAAATTCTTTTATAAAAGTACTACTATAAAAATGCTCACAAAAGTACTTTTATAAAAGTACTTCCATAAAAGTTCTTTTGTAAAAGTGCTTTCATAGTACTTTTGTAAAAATGCTTTCATAGAAGTGCTTTTGTAAAAGTGCTTTCGTAAAATTACTTTTGTAAAAGTGCTTTTATAAAACTGCTTTTGTAAAAATGCTTTCATAAAATCACTTTTGTAAAAATGCTTTCATAAAAGTATTTTTATAAAAGTGTTTTCATAAAAGTACTTTCATAAAAGTGATTTTATGTTGGCTTCAGTTTTGATTGATTTCAAATTGGACAAGGGTTTGGCCTTACTATCGGATTATTGAAAATTTGATTTAGGTCCAATTCAAACCAATAAGATTATGGACCAATTTATTTTGGATTGGTCAAATCCAATAATTATAATGGACCGTCCAAATCCAATTTGATAAGGTTTGGATCGGATTGGATCCAAACCAAAACCGGTCGATTGACACCCCTACTTATATATTTATCCTTTGCTTGCATGCATGCATAATATATGCCCTCACATTAATACTAGAAAAAGGTATGCATGCATAATACATGCCCTTACAATAATTACTAGAAAAAGGAAAAATAGATAAAAAGTAAGAGGGTTAGTTATGTGATAGACAGGCATGGAGCCAAGAGGCACGGGTGCTCCCTTCCCTTCTCCCCACCCACCCCTCCACCAAAAAAACTCATAAAATTTCTTGACTCTGCCCCTAGGTGTAGAACCCTATAGGTTTGAGTCTTTTTCAAGACACTAATAAAAACAAATGTTCTAAAAATAGGTTGGAATCTAAAAATATGGAATACTTAATAAAATTATAGAAAATTGAGCATGATATATGTATAATGTATGAAAATGAGAACTAATGTTATTAATGATGGAAATGGCTGAAAATAAAAGAGAAATAATGCCTTACCCATTGCATGTTGACTATGTTGACCAAGTCAAATATTTCATTGATTTAACTAGTAAGGTTATTTGGTTATTGACTATGCAAATAATTTTTTACAACAAGTTAAAAGATATAAGCTACAAATAAGAAGATTTGAAAACAGATTTTTACATTTAAAGGCAACAAATTTACCAATACCCCATGCTTAATTTGATTACTTGTCTTTGTTACATGGGCTATGATAATAACATTGGTATTAGGAGGTTTTTAATCCAAATCTTTATTTGGATCTAGACTATATAAGTGGATAAAACTTATCCTCTTATTAGAATGGGTGCTCCAGACCTATATCCAAACCCATATTCGCCCAAGTCACATGACAATTTAATCAGTCATGTGACAACTTGATTAATCTTAATAATCATGGGTTTTAGGCCCATTAAGCAAGTGGATCACATCCTAAGATAGTTACTGGCCCATTTAGTTTCAATTTGTATGGTGTGAGACCCTAGCAATGACCTTACATAAGCCCACATCTGTTCGGCCAGCCTTTGTGAAAAGGCCTGACCGATTCACTACTAAATGCAATAAACCCCTGAGTCCATCAGTATGGGCTCAACATAGGCCCAACATTTATAGTTAATGATCCTTGTGTCCAGCCATCCTATGAAGGCCCAAAGATAATGGACTTAAGTAAGATATAGCCCATCAGGTAAACAACCCTTAATGGTCTTTTACACTTAACCTTTCACCCCACAATGATCAAACACTGCCCGACAGGGAATGACCTCTCCCCTAACTGCAAGGTGCAGTGTTGCACTCTTTGTTCGGATGGGTTCCGAGAATAAAAACCTTTTGCAAACACTTTTCTTTAAAACATAATATGTAAATATCATATAAATATATTTTACAAAACAAATGTCAAACACGGTTGAAATCGACTACCGGTAGTTTTGGTTTCCATTAGAGAGAGTGCAGTCTCAATCATTCACTTTGTCTGACAAAGGGGTTGATCTTATCACTATGATCACCCACTAAGGTGAATTCTCAAACTACCCCAACATACTCAGGTTTTGACCCCCAAAGGATTTCCCTGATTGGCATATCAAAGGCGATCCGACACTCAGTGTTGTGCCGTAATCAAGACTAGGGGTTATGTGTAACTTTTCAGATTTTCCCATCAGACTCCAAGGTCCAGGGTATAAATGGAAATTGGTCCGGGTTCAGTGCTTCAAACAAGTACACACTACATGTGCTTTGGGTCTAACCCTAGCAACTGATATAGGCTACTCCAACATCTTTAGCAACACATTAGTATTAGCCTTGGCAAGATAAACTCCCCAAGTCTATCCAACGGTTGAGAACATTATAAACTAATACGAGTCTCCTAAGTGTCCAGATTAAGGGGTAATTACACAGAAACACACCAATCATAACATGAAACAATTAGGTACTATTCATTTATAATAAATGTATCTATAAATCAATATGATTGGAGCTAAGGGCATACACTGTGTAACAGCTAGATTAATTACGTCATCGAAATGTTGAAACCACGTTAATGGCATCTTATTTGTCCTACTTGACTAGTAATCGTTCAACTATACTTTTTGACAACCGATTTTGATGAAAAAGAAACAAAACTGATAGAAACCTCTTGGCATAATCGACCCTTTATCAAAGTTAAAGCAGAAGAACACTTTGCGTTCCAAAAGTTAAAAGCAGAAAACACTTGGCATAATTGACCCTTTATCAAAACCAACTTTTTTGATGTTTTGATAAGGGATGAAAATGGAAATAAATTTTAATAATAGGGGTAAAGGTGAAAGTATGAAATTAGGGTCTTTTGATGATAACCAATGAACCATTCTTATTTTTATTAGTGGATAAGACAAGGGGTAAAAATGAAAATATGTTTTAATAACAAGGGTAAAAGTGGAAGTATGAAATCAGTCTTTTGATGATAATGAACCGTACTCGTTTTTATTAATGGATAAGTTTATTATTATTATTATTATTATTATTATTATTATTATCACCACCATCATCATCATCATATGCATATGGAAGATAGATTTGATTAGGGTTCCCAACCTAACCCAAAGTTGAAAGTTAAAATTTCCCTTTTTCTCCCTACCTTTTCTTTCAAACCAAGCACACTTTGGGGCTAAGGTTTTCCCATGTGAGAATTTAATGGTACAAGAAAACCTCACCCTCTATGAGGGAATTGAGATCATGAAGTAAAGTTGTTGACTTATTGGATTAGGAATAAGTGGTTGACCAATCCTTTCTCTCCTACCACTCATCTCTCAATTCTTTCTCTCCTACCACTCATGAAGTAAATTACAAAGACACACCCCGTACTATGAGGTCGGTGACAAATATCTCTTGAACTT